GGAAGCTGAAAGGTTTTTCAAATCTAATTTATCACTTAGTCACAGCAAACCAACTTGTTCACATTTATTTCAAATTAATGTAAAAACTGTTATATTATAATTTAGCACATCTAAGTATAAAAAGCCTTCATGAAGAGTAGGTTAGCTGGAACAAATAAGGTAGCAGAATTATTAATACTATATTTGTCAACGATTAAAACACAAAGATTGTGATGTGAACTAAATAGAAAGCAGTGTAAACTTTAAAAGCCACAACTTGATTGATTTTAATAATTTTTGGACCAAATCTTTTTTTTATTAAAGTCCTTGATTGTGTATTGTCTTAAACGCTGTTCCGTCTTCATTAGCCCAAAGGACGTTAAACCCCATTTCATTTCATTTATACTCTGTATATCACCATTTTATAACTTGTTGGCAAGTCTGGAGATAAGGCACCTGTCACAGACATTGTTAGGCACACAATGCCTTTGGTCCTATTCATTACTTTTGGCACTGATTTATCATTGTATGTCTTTTATTGATTCATTAGAGTCTGACATTTCATCAGGTACATCTAAAACCATCCTTTCCAGGGCTATGTTGGGACTTTAATGTAGATTCATTTTTGCTAAACAGTTTTTGCATTTTTGAAATCTTTGATAAACTGCTGTGAACTATTTTCATTAATTTAGCTTGGTAATATTTTTATGTCAATTGTAGGAAATGCCATTGCTTCAATTTTGAGAATTACAGTGTTGACTAGAATCTACATAATGCCTGTGATCGATGTCTTTGAATACCGCAACAGACTTAATTCCAAATATTACAAAGTTTGTTGTCTGGAATAATGTCTGTAGGTCTGGTAATACTGTATTTTGACCTAAATCAGCGTTAAATTTTTTTTCAGTACTTTAAATTATAAGGTGTTTGATTTTATATATACTTATTCTGTAACTAAACCATTAAAATAAATTCCAGTTTATTTTGAAAGAAAAACATTGTCAAGTGAATTAACTTTTAGTAGGAAAATAATAGGTATGCCTGGACTGACCTGCTGTCATTGGAAATAGTAGTGGTCTCGTGATAGTGCACTAATTTTTATCGAGTTAAGTTTTACTTCATAGACTGGATCACAGAGGGAGCAGAAATCAGATCTTCAGTAGAATTTCCAATTAGGATTTACATTCTATCAGATGAATTATTTGTTGTCCTAACCTGACAAATTAAAGCAATGAAAAGAGACGATTTTCCATTCAAACAGGGGAGCTGAAGGGGAATCATGCATTCTGTCATGGTTACAAAAATAACCAATGCCATAATTTCAACGAAATCAGAATGTAAATCCCACTGATACACAAAAGATAAATTCCCAACCATGCATGGTATGATACTTAAAATCAAAAGTGAAATGAATGTAAGTTTTACTAATACACATGTGGACTACCTATAGTCCATAATATGCCTAGAATAGATGGGTGTTAAGGTGGGGGATTCACCAAGCTAAAATTTTATGTTTCATGTTATGTTGTACTCATCCCTTTCATAGCACACACGGCCACAGTAAAAAAAAAAAACTGTATGTTCGTCTCATATTCTTGTAATAACCTGATTATTGTGTTCAATGCTTTCTTTTTTATATTGATTCATTAACTTGTTATCCATTGTTCGACTTTCCAATTCTAACTATTTATTAATAATGTCTTGTTGCTCTTTGTTGTCCGTCTGATAGATTTATTAAGGATTTCCGTCTTTAACCGAATGATTTTGTGTTAAATGTAGAGAGAGTGTTGTTTATGGTATTGATTAAGTTATAGTAATAATCAATTTAATAGCCCAGCACAACTTAAAGGAGCAGTCTGAGATATATTTTGTTGCAAATTTGGAAACCTTTATTCAGATTTGGTACATCAATCTGAAGCTATGTGGTACACTCTTTCATGGTTGGTGTAGTACCCAAATTCCATGCTATCCCCATTTACCTTTTCAACAGATTTGCGGTTGATGTGGTTTGTTATCGTAACAACAGTAGCAATGACAATTGAGGCTTCACTGTTCTTTTAACAGTGATAACTCGGATCAAAGTGAAGTAATTTGACTGAAATTTCTATAATATTCCCTAATCATTTGTCTAATCTTACATAATGCCCCCTTTAAGTGAGTTGAGTAATCACTGAACAGCTCAATGTTTTGTGTTAAAACTCTATTGGGGCTGTTAATTTTGTATAGAGTAACTTAAAGATGCGTGACGTAAGAGCTAAGTCTGCCTAATGAACATCTTTTGTTTGGTCTCAAATGCTATATAAATCATTAAGATAAGGATTTTCTGATAATAATGTGCATATGTCAAAAAAATCTCTATTGTGCAAATTCAAAAAACAGTTTTTATACGCCGACATGGAAATGTGGTCATATATTGCCTCGGTCCATCTTCCAAAATTTCTTGTGAACACTCTATAGACTACATTTATTATCTGATGATTTTTAAATTTATATATGTTGTTTACATTATTGAGATGAAGAAGTCTATTTAATTTCAACAATTTCCATTGCTTCTAGAGTTATGGTCTTGTTTCACTGTGTAGAACCTTGTGAACACTCTATTGACAAAAGTTATCCGATCTGTATGAAATTTTTATGCATTATTTAGATTACTAAATCAACAAAGCCTATTGAATATCAGCAATTTCCATTGAATATTTCTAGAGTTATGGCCCTTGTTTCACTTTGTTGAATCCCTTATGAACGTTCAAACGACAAAAGTTATCATTCGATCTGTATGAAATTGTCTTGTAAAAGCTCCCATTACCTACAAAAGAATAAATATGTGACAACCCTTGCCGCCAGCTTGGACGATTTAGCTGCTGTGGGCGTATGTTTTATTTCCTGGCAATCTATCTTAGAATATCTAAAAGTAATTGTGAAAAAAAAAAAAACTGTGGCTAGTGATGCGAGTAGTACTCTAATTAGCTGTAAATATAATAATGAATTTCATGTTTGAGGCGCATTAAGAAAACGAACCAATACTTTGCTTTTGTATAAAAAGTTCACTTAACTTAACAATTTTGTTATATTTTATATCACTCAAAATAACCATATTTGATCTTATCTCATTATTGGAAATCGAGAGCTCTGGCCAGCAAAAAGTAAGGTATTTTTCACATGTATCTAAAACCACGTCTTATCAGTAATGGATTAGTATACTTTCCCCATTTAGTCTAATTTGTACATCCTTGATACAACTTATGTAAATCAAAAATTAATTTATTACTGACCAGCAAAGTTCTCAAAAGGGTTAATGCTTTTTCAAATCTTAAACCCTATAGCCATGACAATTTCCTTTGTATATGTTATGACCATTTATCAAGTGGTGTCCAGTATCTACATGTAGATCAAAGTTTAAGATATAAGCAACAGGCAAGAAAAGTTAATATTATAAATATTTGATTGTCAAATGACCTGTTTATAATTACTATACAACATTAAACTAATTGTTGGATTAATGATTTATTGATAAATCACCAACCAGTTATTAAGTTTGATTAATGATTTATAACCAACCAGTTATTAACTTCATTAGTGAATGTACATGTATGTGCTTAACTTGAGCTTTTCTTATAGAGTATAAATTAGGGTAAAACTAAGTTTTCTGAAGCATGTATTACAGGGGTAGAAAACCAATATATAGGCAATATATTGATATGACAATAAAATTGTTAATTATCATATTAGATGTATGTTCAATAAGTTCTCATAATAGTCAAAAAGTCATTAGTGTTATGAAATTATACTCTAGAATTTACTTAGACTGTGGAAATTGTTAAGACAAGTCATTCTAAACGACACGTGATCAGCAACCCAGTATCAAAACAACAGCTTTACACAAATTTGACAACTTAAAAGGTGTACATAAAAAATTTCAGGTAAATGTATGTGACCACAGCCCGAGATCAATTTTATTAAAGGTTAGAAGGAATAGACATCATTGATCTGGTTTAAAAATAAAATAATCGATTTCATTGAATTTAATGTGTGGATGTGTTTCTTGGGATGACATTATGACCTCATTCAAAATTGTTACCCCTAGATAAAACCGTGTTGAGATATAATCGATTGTGTGTTCCTTTGTCAACACAGTAAGCCAAAAATGAAACTAAAATTACAAAAGATGTCAAGCTGTCCCATTACTAATAGATATAGCACATCTGATCAACCTAAATAAATACTTTATTTCAACCTAAAACAAGGTGGTTTATATCTTTTAAGCTTACTAGTCTATACACTGGTGTAATACAATACAGTATTTGTTTAATAAACATGAAAACTAATCCATGTTAAATGTGCCTTTTGAAGGAGAAGCTGGGGATTAAAGTTCATCATAATATTACCCTTCACCAGCATGATAAGTCACATAAATCTGATATATACCCACCAAGATAAATAGTTACAAAGAAAACAGGCGCCTACATTTCTTTATGTAATAAATATATTTCATCGAGGTTGTGTAGGAGATTAACATCTATTTCTAAAACCTCATAAAACTATTATCATTACAAAATTATGTAAGAAATTTTTTTATGTAATATGTACATCATAAGAATGTAAGGATACACTCAGCTCATTACCATAGCTTTCCTAAATATACATTAAAAGTAACACAATATTCATAAATGCACATAGTATTTGTATTCAGAAAAAGATGGATGTAAAAAGCATCTGGATTATTAAAAGAACTATGAGAATATTAAATGCTTCAAACAGATTAAAAATTGAAAAATACAGAAAGCTTATAAAAACATTTTTGTCATTCTGTATAGTAGACATAATACCCGTAATTATATTAGCATTATGGATGTGTTGTTGATAACATTCTGTTTGCACCAGTGATAGCAAATTGAAACGCATGTTGTATTTCAGGCAGTTTATAAATGTCTCGATCTTTCCAATTATATGATCCTATCTGAAGGTGGATTTCAATGCCTACACTATTCAAAGATTAACAATTGTTATCTGTTTATTTTCAGGGTGATTTAGTTGAATTTTATTATTTTTGGAAGAAAACGCCTGGTGCAGCATCGAATCGTCCTCATCGAAGACATAGACGTCCAGGACATAAACGACAGATTCCAAGATCTAACAACCAGACACCAGGTAAGAATATTGAAATCTATTTATACAGATCAGACCGGTCAATAAAAACAATTGGGTGGCTTAGTGTTGCACTACCAATCATAGGGCTTGTGGTTTCAATCCAGAAAATGGTTGCATTTCTCAGGGTTTACAATTTCCCTTCCCCAGTTAAAAGATATTGTGCTCACTCAAATAATAAGAAAAGTTCCAAGTTAACGTTCTTAAGCAAAAAATCAAGTGTCCTCACTCAACCTTATACCAAGATAGTTTCCAGGTATTTTCACCTTTCTGAAAATAATTGAAAATTACATAGGTACATATAGTTGACCTTACTCCTTGTCAAGTGCAAGCTTAATTCAATGTGTATAGCATACGAAAATGTTTCATATTTGAAAGAGAGCATTTTAACTTGCAAACATAAATATGGTAAGAAAACTGGTTGTGATACCTGGCCTAGAAATGGTGTAGAGTTGTTTCTCACTTTCATGTTCTGCTGGTGCCACATCCAGTTCTCATGCTATTAAAATGTTAGACTGTGTCTTGACCTATAATCCTGGTTTTCAGGACGGGTTAAGAGGATCCTTGGCATTTGTGTGTCAAAGAGGAATAGGTGGAACCAATGCTGTCCTTGCAAAATTCTCTCTTCAGCTGTGATTGGTTAAAAACACAGATCAACCAATTTGCTTTGTCCTTAGATATTAATATTACAGCATAGGGGGAAGCATTAGTAGCAGCATGTCACAGGAGGATGGTTAAACTCATGTGACAACTAGAAGTTGCATGGTAGTCCAATTATTGACAATCTGTCAGACTCCATCTTCTCAATTACATACTGACTTGGGATTCATGTACCCAGAATCCTATCCTACTCTATCTTATTGATGAAATCTGGATAGAACTAAAGGTCATTAATCTTAGAGGTTGGAAGGTCAGATGAGGTCATTGTGTATAGTATATGTCTAATGTTTACACAGTGAGATGTTCATTTGATCTAATTATTTGGTCAATTATACATTGTTTATAAACTATGAGAGTAATTTAATAAGGAGTTTGTAAGAATAAATTATGATTGTGCTTTATATAGTAACACTGTAAATGTTTATCAGCAGGGGGGGGGGGGGGGGAAAATACTAGGTTGAAATTTAGATGTATGTTCACATTGGCACATATACATTTAAAAAAAAATATAAATCTTATTTGAAGTTCTAATTTTTACTGAATAAACAATTTGAGTATGCAAATCAAAGCTGAAAACAAAGAAATAGCCTATTTACATTGTCTGAATGTTTCAGCTCAAAATATTAAATCATTTTGAATGATCACTAAAACTGTTTATGGGGGTTACATAACTCTTTTTAGAGTGCTGGCCTCCAATTTTTAACTGAGTGACCTGATAAAGCAGGCCATTGGATACCCTTTTTAAACTTTAATTTATCAAGAAGTATTTAAAGTAGTGCACCTGCAAAATTCTATTACAACCCAAAAATTAAAGAATAGTGGAAAACTATCAAAACACAAGATGATTGGTAGTAATCAAGCTGATCTCGAACTGCACCGGAGATCTTGATGTTAGTATTTCTTTGAAATTGTACCATTACAATGAGCTTCAGATAGTCGATTAGGACGAGAATATTGGGTTTTAAGAGCATTCCACAACGAATTAACCACTTTTATGTAGATTTCTTCTTTGAACACAACTATCAGGGAAAATTTTCCTCTCTCACATTTCACAAACAGCTATACAGTGAATAAAAATAACCATAGCAGAATATACTCAATTCCATTCCAAACCGTCATTTTATTGATCGATTGGTGTATGAAGAGTTATTATCGCCAAAAGGAGATATGATTGACAGATGATTGACAGCTTGTTTAATCAGTGTGTGTTGATAATAGTAGTCATATTATTGTTACAGAACTGTCAGTTATCTTGAACTTCTCATTGATAAATATTAGGTTAAACGGGACAGTGATTCACCACTGTTAATATAATATCATATCAATAGAGTGATGGGGTGGTGTGAGTTGAAGTCATATTTGTGGTTAGACCAATCTTAACAGTGATAGCCTTTCCTACACATATGTTCTCTCACACACGTGACAGCCAAAATTATATATAAAATAACTTTTAATTATGGCTGAAATACTTAGTTGTTAAAATTTATTATTTTTTTACATGTACAAGAAATACATGTACAAGCAAGATTTGGGCTTCTTGTATGAGTAGATATAGCATGATTTAATACGGTGTGAGGAGAAAAAAAAAAAAAAATACTGCATCAAGAACAGTACTATATCCAGCCTTTACAGCAGTATTAAGGCATCGAGTACTTCAACTACTTCTGACCTCCATTTGGATTTATGAGTCTTTAGAAAAAATTTTTTAAGATTTTGTAATGATTGTTGAGAGAAAATTTTTGACTTGTTAATTTTGATGAGTAGACCTACATTCATTTTGAGTAACTCCTATTGGCTACTTCTATTAGTTTGTAAGCAATGTCAAGAGGTTTTGCCTTTATAGTACATTCTTTCAAGTACTCACTTTAGTTACTCCATTTATACTGAACTCTTCAAGTAAACTATTTTTTTTTTACGTTTATTTACTTTCTTGTGTCGTGTAAACATGATGCTTAATACTTGTATTGTTCTCGTTAGCTCTTTGTTAACTCGGTGGACCAATTGGGTTTTAATACCAACCTATGTTAGGAATGAATTTTAACCTTTTCAGTCTTCTTTAGTATTGCTGGCAATGTTTGTTTATACTCTTCGCATCATCTTTGTTTATTTTCCTCGTCACTTTGGTGGCAATGACGGGTGCGTATTTGTCGGTTTGCCTGTAGGGATAAACACCCAATGTTTATGCAGAGTGTTATCAATGCTACAAGCTAATACGCTAATAAAACAAGTCCGCAGAAATACATTGGAATCTTCTCTAGATACAGAATCCAATCTTTTAACTTGTTTTGCGATCTATAAAACGTGATCTGAATTGGTTGTAAAAGTCGCATTTTGCATCATTTTGAACACATTTTGAGACAGTATTGTATTTGAAAGTAAATAGTTTTCTAGCATGTCTTCAAGCCTCTTAATTGGAGCATGCCTTGTGTAAAAGAATTAGAATTTCAAGATTTGTTTCAATGTTCTGATAATTAAGCATCCAATATTCAGCAGAAAGAGAATAAAATTATTAGTAGAAACAGATAACATCTTTTGAGTCCCAGTTTTCCATCTTGAAATGTTTTTATGCAATAATAATGAAAACACTCAAAACAAAGTTTGGCCTTATATCATGTTTTACTGAATTGACCAGTATGAATGTTTTGGTTAATTGCAGATGTTTTCTGTAATCGTCAATGAATGTCGGGCAAAAGCTGATGCATTGACAGATACAAATCTTGTGATGCCTGTCATTTCTTCCGATTATTTTTCTGCCTTATCATTAAAAAAAAATTGTTTGGCAGATAGAACTTTAATAGTGCCTAGGGACATTTCGACGAGGATATTCTCGTCAGTATCATGCATATGTTAAAGACGAGAGTATCCTGGTCGAAACGTCGCCTCTTGTTTTTTGACAGTACATGTTTAATTGGTATGAATCTATCAGTATTATATCCATACATGTACCTTCCTAATATGTAAAATATAATTAATTTTAATGTGTTTGTCATTTCAGCGGATTTGAGTTCAGCAAGTGAATGTTCTGATAATGATTCTGATTATAGTATTGAAGGCAGTGGTGGTGGAGGACGAGATATAACCAACTTTCCTATTAACCGTAATACCAATAATTATTTCTGTCGTCACTGTAATACTACAAGTAAGTTGATAATTCAATTTAAATTGGTAGTATGTCTTCTTTCTGTGATTAAAGAACTTTATGTGCAAACTTAGATATTGAAATATTGAAAAGCTTTTTGTATGTTAGTTCACCGATGCCAGTTCTGTTGAGTGGAGTTTAAGCCCATTTCTCTCCATCTCTCAAATTAGACTAATGTTAACTATGGGAATAAAAACAGAAGACGAATTTATGATGTAATTAATTACTGAACTTCAAGATTCTCAGTCATTCTAAGGCAACACAAATAAAATAACTTGTTTCTCGGGCACCGCCCGCACGCAAAATTGGTTGCGCGTGCAGTCTATTTATTAGTCTTGATGAAAAAAAATAAATATGTAACGCCCGCCCGCACATCGACAAGCAAGTCGTAAAAAAAATATCCCGCATGTACCTACATCCGCCATACATGTATATCTATTCAAATGTATTAAAAATGATTCAGATGAACATGCTGTCTTTTTTATCCGAACAATGGCGAAGTTTGGCAGATTTGCCTTTTTTATTGATATCGAAAGAACCTCCATTTTGTATCACGTGATATTAATTACCTCCCCTGATAAACTAGAATTTGATTCGTGTTAAAAGTCATTGGCGACAATATTTCAATCATTCGATCGTAATCGGCTCATTATTGCCGGCTTCAGTCGGTCCTTGTTTGGAAAATCCTATTGATAAAATAATGAACCGTAGAACAGGTTAATTAATTATAGCTAAGAATACGATACGATGACGATAGCCGTCATAATGCATACCTTAGAATCTGGGTCATTAGTAGTTTCGATAATCCGGAAAATAATAATTGGATTACCGATTTGATGGTTTTACTGACCAGTTGTTAGTTAGATTTAAATAGTCATTCAATATAAACACCGGATAGAACACCGAATATCCTGAGAAACACACCGAATATCCCAAGAAACAGTATTTCCTACAATCTCCAATACCGATGACACGGTGTGACATGCATTGGTTGGAATTCGGTAAATAATTATAAATAAACCGGCGATACTAGATTTAGTTTTAAATACTGTTTACCATTATTATTATTTTTGATACACCTGGTGAAAGAGGCTTAGTTTTTAAAAATATTGTTGTCTTTATGGAGGGCTATTACATAGTCGTATGGAATTTTATTTTAAACCAATTTCAATTATGTGAATTAAATATGGAAAATTATTTTCCTTTCAGTCAGTGTTCAGTCTCAGTGTTTTAGTAGACTTGATTTTGGGTTTATGTTTAAAGTATGTACAATAAAGTTGAATATAACGGAAAGCAAAAACGTAAACAAGTAATGACTTTCTCATTTAAAAAAAAAAAAAAAGAAAGACTGCCCTCCCGCCCCAACAATTTTCAGCAATAGCCAAATTTTATTTTGCACCATCAATGAGTAAAAAAAAAAAAGAAACCGCCCTCCCTCCCTACAGTTTCAGCTGTCAGTTGCCCGAGAAACAAGACATTTATTTTGTGTGGCCTAATACATATTTTCCCCGGTATCTTGTCAAGAAGACATATAAATACAGATTGATCTTCTAGACAATCATTTATTCTACCGGTATTACATATACTTACTTTCAAAAATTGAAAGATTATACATTATTCTAATATAAAAATAAAACCATGAATGTTCCTTTATAAAGGATGTCTTCTTTAACTGGCAGGTTGTATTCTGACAATTAATTTCTTTTACTGTAACTGAATTTTTTCTAAAGCTTAAAATGGGAAATGTTACTGTAGAATGTTAGGAAAGAAATTCAGTTTTTATTGGACCAATTTGTAATTAGACATATATCAACTAACTTTTCTCAGATAATATGCCTTATTCACTACTAGTGTTTTTGAAAATGTTTTTCTCTTTGATTTGATCAAGGAAATGACAATAATAAAATGGTCTTATGGTAGGCATTCATATTCCCACTAAGGGAAATTGTTTAGTGCACATATACTCTTAACAGACACACTGTCAAGACTCTTGAGCATATTTTTATTTGACAAATACTCTAAAACTATAAATTTTGACAATCTATCAATTAAACTTATCAAATCTTGCACTTGCATATTCATGATTCAAAGGTTTACGTCTTGGGATTTTTGTGTAAATAAATTATAATGCTATAAAGATTTTTTTTTTCTATGATCACACATTTATTCTGTAAACAGGGGAGGTTGCGCATGCGCGCTGTATTATAAGGTCTGTCATTTAGTCAGGCGTGGTTTCGATCCCCCAGTTGTACGTGACAAGGATCGCCGGGACCTCTGGTTTCCTCCCACTGCTAAAGACCCCTATGCACAAACGAATTATTGAAATAAAATTGAAACCATATGTTAGTCCCGAAGTGACCTAGTTTGTGTCAAGTAGACGTTAAACTCCATTTCTCTCTGTCTTTATTCTGTAAATAAAAGTTGAACATAATTGTACACAAGTCCAGTTTTAATAGTCTCTGAATTCTATTGAATTTATACTCTAGGTGCATATAAGACATATTAGTTTTCAATTCCCAAGTGGCGTGGCTCAGACAATAAAATTAGATTAAATTCATCTCATGCAAAACAGACATTAGTCAGATTTTTTGATAGATGTTAAAATATGTTACTTATCAAGTATTTTGTAGAAGATTCCAAATGTCTACAAAATTACAGTGCAGATGTTTTATCTGAAGTCTCAAATTTAACTTTTGAAAAACTTATTAAATTGCATTGTTAATTTCTATTTTTCAGCATCTAAAGATTGGCATCATGCTGGTAAAGATAAAAGTCTACTATGTACAGATTGTCGAATGTTCTTTAAGAAATATGGCGAGGACCGTCCCCTTGACAGTCCCCAAGATACAACTAATACTTTCCTCTTTAAACCTGTAAAGGAAGAGGAAGACGACGAAGACGGGAAGCACAACATGCGAACACGTCGAAATAATAATAATACAGTAAGTTAATAATATTATGTATATATAAATAATAATGATACAATATTAGTGTTTAACTAATAATAATACCTTAAAGATGCATTATGGGAGATTTGATAAGGAGTTGGCAGTTCTCACTATAATAATTAAAAACTAGGTAACGTAAAGTCAATTTGCTGAAAATGTCATTCGAATTGATCCACTATGAACCGAGAACTAAGCGAATGAAATTTCTGCCTAGCCTTGGTCATCATTACAAAAATCAGTACGATAAACAGCATAGTCTCGATTATCCATTTAATTGTTTAATCGAGAAGGAAAGTTATGCAGTAAATCGGCTCACAATCCACTTAAGATCGCAGGCTAGCGATGCCATCTAGAGTTGATTATGGTCTGGTAGTAGAAAATATAATTGACAAAGTATAGAATTTTTTTCAAAACACAATATTGTTTTATAAAAATAAAATAAGCAAAATGCCTGTAATGTGATATTAACTTAACATGCTACTATGAATTAGTTCAAGTGTATTCCTAGTTAAATTTTATTGAAACCAATAAAGTAATTATAAATGAGATCCTTGTCTGCCTAATGTAGCCCTTCAGCTGTAATTTTATCCCGAAGAAGTCAAACAACAGCAATCAAGAATATTTTGTTGATCTCATTCTGTACTATTGTTTCATCTGATTTTAGGGAGGAAATAATAAAGGAAAGAAAAAAGAAAGAGGCTGTACAAGTAGTCCCGATAATATTGACGGTATTATTAATGGTAATTCTGACCCAAGTAAAAACAGTGATCGTAAATCTCCGAGTGTAGGTAGCACTTGTAGTAACAGTAGTACAGATAAAGAAAGTAAAGACAGCAATATAAGCGACAAGGTTAGTCTTCACTATTTATTGTGTGGTTTATAAATTTTATTCAAAAGATTTCAATCAGTGGATGATTGTTCACCTCTAATGGTGATGACATACATTCTTAAAATGCTTCTAAATCATTCATGCAACCAGACTGGCCTCCATATTAAAAGTTTTTGGCTATGCACGTTTTTAAAAAATGAGAATTTTATGGTTATCTGAAATTGACCAAGATAAAGACTTCACATGATTTGACACTATATTTAGTTGTTTACAGCATTCTTTATATTACATGTTAGGATTTACACAAGATTACCCCAGACAAAATATGTTTTATTATATGACTATTTTATGTGGGCAAACTGTGTGAAAGATGCTGAAGACCATAAACTCACTCAACATCAGATGATCGTAAAGTTGTTTGAGTCTGATGATAAAACCATTTTACTTGTTATCACAGAATATATTAAAACATGCTTTTAGTTCTATTTATAATCCTAGTGTATACATTGTACAGTATTATAATAGATGATGTTTTAAACAGGCTGTGTGATATAGGATTATTTCACATTTCTGGTTCTTGCATTTTCATTAAGATAGAAAAAAAAATATGAATTACCTGAGGAGGCGAGAGTGTTTTTTCGAAATTGTCTGTTCAAAGACATCTTGATTGAAAACATCTTCTTTATCTTTAACATGAATTTTTAGGATAAATGTTCTTTTAGGTGTTTTTTTCGTCGATTTATACATTTTGTTGTGTGTGTGTGTGGGTTGTTGTAGTTTTCTTTAAAAACATTCCCATCTTCTTGCATGTTTTTAAATAGAACAACCCTGATGAATTGATATGAATGTGATAATGTAATAAAATATAAGCCTGTATTCAGTCATACCGATTCTGATGTTGATAAATAAATTTAATATTATCATTTCAGAAGGAAGACAGTGAGAAATCATTAAAGAGGCACAATATAACTGAGAGTGAAACAAAAGCTAAAAAGAAAAAATCTCAGGTAAGTGGATTCTTCAATTATACAATAATGTTCTAACCATACTTCAAAATATTATCTTAATAAACTAGAAAATTGTTTTAACCAGTCATTGGTGAATTAACAAGTCTCAGCTGTAAAAAAAGGGTAATCTTGGCAAACTAAATGTAGGAATTTATTTGATTTCATTGAAATAATGAATATTGTAACTTATAAATTGTTTGATATTTTAGGACCGCTCTGATTGTGACTCAGTATCCGATTCTAGTAGTATATCAGGTAATGATGATATAGGTAATGATGTTGATGAAGATGACAATAATCAGGTACGTTTCTTTTTACTCATTTATTTCTTTGACTCTGAATTAAAAGATCTCTTAAGTATTTTGATATACAATGATGATGCACTCAAGCATGGTTGGACTTTAGTTGATTTAGGTGCACAAAATGCTATATCTTAAATATTTATCAGTTAAAAAAAAATAAAATGTTGTTCAGTAGTCACCTTATACATCCAAACTGTAGCGATTCTCAGAAAATAACGCCCTGGCTTCAATTAACTCAAAGCTAGCAAAACTTCTGGATTACTTGAATTAGCTCCCATCTTTTATCCATTTGGTCTATTGCGGTGAGACGTTTCCCCAACTTACTGTTTCTAGGAAACCTGATGATTATTTTATATACACATTGTGAAATAAATTTAAAAAAAGTGAAATTCTTGGGTTCATGGATAATTAATTGATGTTTGTTGTATTTGTAGGACGAACTAAGTTCCAGTACACCTCCAACAACTCCAACACCATCTGAGGTCGATTATCAGCCACTAAAAGATTTGGTGAAACCTGAACCCCAGCATCCAGTACAATCACCACTGCATATAGCTCATACTCTTCCACCAAAACCTCTTCACATGCCAGAACCTCATCACTATCCTTCATTACCAATACCACAGTCATCGCAACATAGTTCCTTCCATCATCCACATTTACCTGAAACATCTTTACCACTACCGCCAACAACCTCGGCCCCTTTACAGACTCAACATCCGAAGCCAGAAGAAATGGTGGACAAGAAACCAGATATTGCATCGTTGCAGCAATACACAGCGATGTATCCCCTCGCCCCAACACATGCAACGCAACCAGGTGGTCCACCGCCGATACCAGGGTTGATACCTATAAAAAAGGAACCCTTGTCCCCACGCCACCATGTGGCTTCAGCGTGGAAGGAAGTGAAGAATGACTCTGATATTCCAAATAATGTGACAAATAAATTCCCTTCGCATCGGGAAAATTCATTCACTGGATTACCATATCCATCGCATTCTATAAGTAGTGTTTCCACGGCAGCACATGGAGGTGCTTTACCGGAAGATAAACCAGAGAGGCGTGAAACTGAAATTGTTAAACCTATACATCATGTAGCTCCATCATCTATAGCATCAATACCACCTCATCAACACCTACCACAAGACATGTCACTACAATCTAATTTATTTAACCCTCGCCCAGCTATACCCGAACTTAAACCAACACCAGTATCAAGCAGCAGCAGCAGCAGCAGTAAAGACACAACAACGATGACAGCTCCTCCTATGACAGTCACGGTCGATCCAGATGATGATGATGACACTGACCTCCGACCTCCTAGTCCTGACACGGAACCCCCTACTCCTTGTAACAAGGAATTTCATAAAAGTGCTTCAGCTATGTAAGTATTTCTCGATTAAAATCAGAATTTAAATACATAGGAGTCATTTTCATATCATAATTTTGCAGACGCGTATAATTCTAGCCATACTATTAAGCATTATATTAAGGCTGATTCAGATTAATTCCATTGCTAAGAACCTATTACTAGCAGTATGGGATATGTATTTACTAAATTGAATTCAATTTCACCAAAAATTTGAAAGATGAGTCCCTTTTCCTGTCTATTGGTAATCCGGTGATCTTTAAGGGTGGTTCTGCATACACCGCCTCAGTGAAATCCAGTACAATGAAATAAGGTTCTGCTCCGACTTGGTATATGAAGATGGGCATAGGCCATACAGTATGCTTTGCAGAAATTTTTTCCAGGACAGGGATGCTATAGCCTACTAAGAGATAGAATTCCAACTTCCAAAACAGGACCTTGGTATTTCGTCCCAACGGAAAGACTATACGTTGTCCTTGCCATGGCCCTCTGTTGTGCACCATGACAAGGGGGAACCACGCTAGAAAATCATGATGAACTTTCTCGGCCAACACCGTGACCGAACCCGCGACCACCCGGTTAGCAAGCCGACGTCTTACTCACTGAGCCACATTGGCTCCCGAAATGCAATACATTTAATTGTTGTAGTTTACGTTTACTTCATGATTTCATGTGATTTTTTTATATTACAGATTTATTCAGATATTAAATCGTGGTAAAAACTCATGTTCTCGTTCTGATTATGTATTTAAACCTCTACCCGATTCTAAACTAGCTAAGAAACGTGAAGATCGGGAGAAGAAAACAGCTCATGTTCAACCAATGAAAGAAGAGAAGGTAAATTTTATTGCTAGTACATTGCATCTTTATAAAACAACTTCCAAAAAACCATATTGCACATTCGACAGTCATGCAAATTCAACAGATATAGGATTTTATAACAAAGGAATATTATGAATAGATGATCTGTGAAACATTAGAATTAACATATCCGTTAAATGGTTGTTACCTTAAATTAAGATATATAACTGTTGTTGCCATAAATTACAAACTACATTGTGTATTGCTCATATCCTTTCTGCATTGTAGAAGAGAATGGAGACTCCACCAAGAACGACATCTGCAGACGCTCAAGTTACAAGTAGTATATCTCATTCCCAGCATTCATCGGGCTATAGTGAACGTCATACACCCCATCCATACAGCGATACACCAGCTCTACGACAATTACATGAATATGCTAGACCCCATGCCATGGGTAAGATATTCTCTTTTTAACCAATGGTTTAAAATGTTAATGCATTGGCTTATTCGATGAAATCATAAGGAATACATACACATGGTCCAGGAAGCCAAGTTTCTTTCCAAGTACATGGACAGTCATTGCTGCTAAGTGTGTTCGTTTATTCATTTAAAAACTATGCCATCACTAGATTATAGCATGCTGTAAACTAATTTGTTAACATGAGAGATGAAAGCAAAACTATAGTAGATAAGGTACCATGTTCTAAAACTTTGCAATGCTTACAACTAATCAGTGAATATTTAAATGATATTTTATTTGTTTAAACAGGTCAAGATATGCGATCACCATATGGTATGGGAATGCATTCACCAATGGATCCTTTCTACAGATTAGCCTTATATCCACCCGGTTCGAGAGAAAGGTACAATTTGTTTCTCTTTTTAATTATTTTATGCATAAGAATCTCTTAACTTTTTAAAGATCTTCAGTGTTAAGTTCCCCCACCCCCAAATTGATTTGTCTAAACGGTCAAAAAGGGGACAGATTCGGTCAATCCGTATAACTGATGATTTACAATTCACTGAATTTTTAAATCATTTTCAGAGACTTTAATAAAGGCTTACACAGTGTTTGTATTCTAAGGTCTTATTCAAATATATTTTTCAAAATTGATTACATTTATGTACTGAATGACTTCTTTGCCTTAATATGTTTCTGTGTTGTTTTAGGTTGGAGTTGGAATTAGAAAGAGATAAACGTGAACGTGATGCAAGAGAAAGGGAGTTAAGGGAACGAGAGTTACGTGAAATAGAATTACGTGAAAAAATGAAGGCAGAGATGGAAATGAAACCACCAGGTAAAGAAATGTAGCCTTTGGGTGGGTGGGGGAGGGGGGGGGGGGAGAATGTTCATTAGGCAAAAACAAAACAACAGTAAAAATTGCAAGAAATAATCAATTTGATTTGGGAACTATCATACTATTATTGCCTCCTAGATCAAACAGGGGTGGCATAGCGTCTTCATAAGGGAAAATTGCATATAGTTAATTTAGGATTTTGTTCATTTTCAGGACTCGACAGACTTTTACCTCCAGGAGCTAATCCTCTAGATCCTCATTGGTTAGAATTACAGCGTCGATATGGTTATCCTCCGGGAATGGCAATGGTTGGTCATCCAGGAGCATCTGGTTCTGGGGGTCACATCCCAGGAGTTTATCCTCCAACTAGTCTAGCTAATGATCTCATGCAAAGGGAACGGGAAAAACTTGAACGATTAGGTGAGTTGATAAACTATTTTTAAGGGAATTAATACTTTAATATAAATTTTATAGGATTTTATCAAGGAATCATAATGTTATGTCAGTATATTATTTTTAGCTTGTCACAGTTAAATGTAAAATCCACTTTAAAAAGCCTGTCTTCTTTAGCCTGGTTGGTGCAAAAAAGGAAAACATTTAATTTTTAAAAACAGCAAATTGAAAGGGAAAAGTGCCCAATTTGGTCACATGACAGTGGAATATATATATATATATATTTTTAAAGAAATACTATTGACTGTACAAATCTATAGCTATCTATAACAACAGCTTAATATATTTTATAGCATAGTTTCTAACATTCCTACAGAATTGTAATTAATTTATTTTTAGATATTCAATATATTGATAATAAGAAACAAAATAAGAACTTGATGCTATTTGATTTAAGTACTCCATTTATAGGTCAATATGACAGTATAAGTCAAATGTATAGTCTTGGACTGTCTCAAGCAAATGTAATCTTATTAATTGTCATATTTTTCAAAACAATATTCAAATTTCTTACTCCAGTTTTGGCTATTTCAATTTTGTTTCTATTTGCTTGAAATAAATCAATTTTGTTTCTATTTGCTTGAAATAAATCTTTCTTAAACTAAATTTGGATAGGATATTTCTGGACGATCTAGTTTCTAATTTGTTGTCCGTTTGATAAATAATAAAGATGATTTGATATTTAGTATTGTATGTAACTATGTAAATTAGGTATACCATCTGGTCTTCATCAAATGAACCCAGAAGCAGCAGGACCACCACCCGCAGGCTACCCGTATGGTCAGGGTATGATGGATCGTCTTCAAGCCGAGAGATTACAGGTAGAACAACTCTCTATGTCAGGAGATCCAGTCGCCAGGATGCAACAGATGGGGATGGCGTCGCGAGCTGCCGCAGCTTTGGCAGCACATCACACGCACGCGCATTCACACACACACCTACACCTACACCAACAACAGGACCGTCTGCTGGGACTACAACAACTAGCAGCCAACCACGCCCTATATCCCAACATGCAACCGCCACCAGGTAAGCTGGGGGAACCCTTCTCTTCCCATCCCTCTTTCCCTTTTTAAACTAACAGCGACTTTCTCGAATTATTATTCCAGATATTCTACATACCGATCATTTGACGGGCAAGATGATATACCAATATTATTCTCAGCGGCTAACGAAAGAACAACATGTTTATTCACACAGACTTACTAACGACTCGCCTTCGTCCTTTCTACATTTGAAGAACGATAGACCCACCATTGATTCTTCGCATTTGGTTTATCAGTTCTCTAGTAAGTTGACCTTCCGTGTTGAAACAGTTGTCGTTAAAATAAGTTTACCGAACTTATATTCAGCTAACTGATACAATCTTATTTTTAAAACAATGTACATGTATGTCTTTCGTTTACCACCCACAATTTATGTTTTTGTTTTCGGTTTTACAATTTTGGTTTTTATCCCCCGATTAAGCATAAGCTCTTGGCTCCCAACAAAAATCAAAACGACAACAAAAAAAAAGCCCAAAATATGTTAGTATATCATCCTACCTGAATGCCGTATTGTGAAAAATATTTACAATTTTATTTACAAATTCCTTTTATTTTGCTTTAATCCTCTTTATGTTGTAATTTATGTGTTGTTTCAAAAAAAAAATTATTCTTATTTTGCATGGTTTAATAGTTCGAGAAAGTCGTGTTTGTAGCCATATATGTATTTTATTTTTTTTGACCATAAAGAATTCTTCTTTGTCACTATGCTTTGATGATCCCAAATAAAAGTTCTGTCATATCAGCATGAATCTGTTCTGAGACAAGGGACTCTTGCCTTGGTAAAATAGCACACTGAGATATGTGATTGAATGCTACCAGTGGCCGTTAAATCTTGAAGGCTATTGTATCTTTAGTCCAATGGTGTTACAAGGACAAACAACTTGTATCAATGATGAATGAGTATATTGTAGCACTTGAAATATATTTACATTTCCACAAGTTGAATCCAGTTATAATGAGGCGGATAAGGATAAGTGGCCAGTTATTCATATGAATGCAAAAATTTTAAGATTTACAGCCATTCATAGATTAACATTTCTTTACTGGAAAAACTTCCTCCTGCCATACACCATAGTAAATGATTCTTGAATCATAGTATACCTAAAACCTAAAAAGTGTTTACCATTAAAAATGATGTGTCTGTTGCACAAGCCGAAATGGTTACACGGCAGTTCGGTAAATATCTGGACCCTGTTTCTCGAAATCTTAACTAAAGATAAAATCCAAATTTTAGTAGATACTTCAATTTTGATTGGCTAAGCACTAAAATCCATCTAATATTATCCAATCAATTTACTAAAATTTGGATTTTATCTTGGTTAAAATTTCGTGAAACAGACCCCTGATTAATGAGTATACCATACAAAATTCCAGGTAATTTTCTTTTTATTGTACATTTGATTATAAAAAGGTTTATTTTTTATTTTTTTTAGGAGCTGATCCATTAACTGGTTTACCCTCTACAAGTGGTTCTGGTTCAAATCCAGCTATTTCATTAGCTGGTGTACCTCCCCCTGTATCACAAGCATTATTATCACAGTGTAATAGTAGGGACCAGGAATTATTACAGAGGGAACTGTATAACCGTGCTGCGTACATGGATCCTGCACTAGCTCATCAGGTAAAGATTTGATACTTTGATTTTCCAACGCTGAAGAATAATTATACAGGTTTCATTGATGTTTTATGTGGGCTAATGACTCCTTGTCACATAAGCAAATGTTAAAAACTTAAAACTCAAAAGACAGTTAAAGTACTTAAAATTATTTATCAATTTGAATTAACATTTTAGTAACATTTAATAGACTTTAAATTGATGTCTTAAATGCTGAAATGAAATGAAATGAAATGGGGTTTAACGTCCTATTGTTCTGCTCCTAAACTGGGCTAATGAAGACGGGCATACGCCATACAGTGTGCTATGAGGGAAATTTTGCCTGGGCAGCGGCACTATCGCCTACTCTGATATCGAATTCCAACTGCCAAGGGATCTTTTACGTGCATTCCAATGTATACATGGGACCTCGTTATTTTGTCTCATCCGAAGGACTAGACAGCTGTCCTTGTCAGGCCCTCCGTTCTGCACCACTGACAAGGGGAAACCACGTCGGAAAATCGGTATGAACTTTCTCGGCCAATGCAGGGATCAAACACCCGACCTCCAGACTAGCGAGTCAGCGCTTTAACCACCTAGCCACCATGGCTACCGTCTTAAATGCTATTGATTTAATGTGTCAAGAGCATCACAATAATAAAGGAGATGGCATTAAAATGCCAATCATGTGGGCTACTGAAGTTCATCAACTGTATTTTCTATATCATTGAGATATTTTGAATTACATGTATGTATTTATTATTTCAGTTATCAGCACAGGCGGCTCATCATGAAGCGTTACAGAGACACATGTTAGAGCGTGATCGATTTGGTGCCTCAGGCCATTTACCACATTAGCCAATCAAATACCATTTTACATCATCACAAATCATATAACCAGCATCTTCATAGACAAGTGTTCATTATGAAACAAAACTTTATCAAATTGACTGAAATATCATTTGAACTCGAATGTGTTCGATGTGAGGATATTTTCAGAAACATAAAAAGTGTTCATGAATTTGTGTGAAAAGACCCTTTATTTATATATTTATGCAGACCAACTTTATATATAATAAATTATAACCGCGGGTGAAAGTTCCTGCGACAAACACATATAGTTTCAATATATAGAAGGATAATGGAATGATGTTAATAGTGTAAATTTAATTCTTGAGTTTAATATTTATATGTTCATGGATATTGGTGGATAATAGAACAACAACAGTTTTATTTATTCAAAAAATATAAACATTCACGTAATTGAATAATTGCTTGTGTTGATACTTCAAAGAAAATGAAATGGCATGAGAGGAAACATGGAGCAAATCCATTGAGAATTAAAAACAAAACAAAGTTCTTGATGTGATTATCAATAGTATGTAAATTGAAACTGGAGGAATAGACTATTTATAGAATAGTTACATAACATTCTTTCAAATCTTCATATAAAATGTCATCACCGGACATTTACGTACTATTATTTGTTTATATGAGGCTGCAAATTTTACAATCATTTATTGTAAATTTTTATATTTGTAACTTGGTGGTGACTTTACAATTACATACTTCACAAAGATCAAATGCTGGAACATAGTGTTTTAACGAAATGTGTTGTCATTTGATTGTCAAAATGTGCTAACTAATGGTGTAGACTACCCCTATAGGAATTCATTCAGTCTTGTATTGTGTGAAAGGTCTGAAAGTCAAACCATAGACATGGTAATAGAAGAGAACAGATTATTTACACCAAAAAATTTGGTCTTAACAGAACACCTACAAATAATAAACACTATAAGGTGATTATTCTATGATGAGTGATTAATATCAAGGGTTATTTCCCTTTTGATACAAAACTGTAGTTTGTGTTTACTGTACATGATAAATTGAGGTGAAAATGACGAATTAAGAAACTTTTATTGTGCTAAATCCATATTACTTCATCAAAAGTATGCTTCTTTTAAAAACTCATCACATAAATTAATTTTGTGAGTTTGAAAGCAGGTAAAGTGAGAAAAAAATGGCAATATTTGTCAACATTCAGCAAACATCATTCAACATAGATACATTGATTGAAGTGGAAGTATTATTTCTATGTTTTCATATTTTATAAATTAATTGGTAGTAAAAGTCATATTGTCTGTGAAGTTGTGTGTTCATTCATTGTAAACTTTTACGTGATGTATATATTTCATGTAAGGGGCAGGATTAGGGTCAACATTTCTATTAGCACACATGTATTACACTTGTATAAATATGTTTTTATCAGAGTTATGCAATATTCAGTTAGAGAGTGTTGTTAACAATCATTAAATGTTTTGGTAAAAATTTTACAATGTCATTTAATGCCTAATACAAATTACTATTGTATTCAAATTGAAACAAGCTCCTGTTTATTCTTTTAAAAAAAGTTTATTTAATAATTCTTAGGGTTAAGTTAGTAAAGCCCAATACGGCAATAAGTAAATTTCATTTTCATTTAAATTAAAAATATTAGAAATAAAACTTAGTCATTTGGTGATTTCATATGATTTTATATAGAACTTTTTCTTTGCGGGATTGGGGGGGGGGGGGGAGAATCTTCAGATTGGTTACATTTTAATACTATTTTTCTAATGCAGGATAACTTTCGGAGCTTCATACGAAATATTTAAAACCTAAGCAGATAAATAAAAAAAGATTAAAATATGTTTTAGTCTTCCTGCTCCTATGCAAATATGTCTACATTTATAGTCAAATTATGTTTACCAAAATAAATCTGTTGCAAGGTAAAAAAAAATGTATTAAATTAGGATGCAATAATTTTGAGTTAGATAAAAAATGTAAGTTTTCAGACACAATTTCGGCTTGCGTGATCAAAACTATCTCTGAATTAAACAAATTGAAGACATTTTATTTTCTCTGTATGAATAGGATTCCCTTCCCTTAACATGTTGTACTGGTATTAATATCTTCACAATATTTTTTCAAATCTCATCAATTTCAGTATTTTTTAACATATAAATACTGAAATATATTTATAATATTATTTATAAAGCTTATAACGTAACTTTAGCAAGGTAAACCAAGTAGGCAGCATATGCAGTTGTAATTTGTTCCGTTATGCTTTGTGTGTGTGACTGATAGTCTTGTGTGTACGATGCTAATTGCTGTATTCTGCAATGTAAACCTGTTATCATTACATTACTTTTTGTCAGCCGGTCCTGTCTTATATTTTATTATTCTATCACCCCACCTTTCATGGCTTTTGATCTATGATAATCCTGATTTTGACTACATGTGTAAATGTTGCTCTTGGCTTCTAGATTTAGGAAACAAAAAGTTATAAAAATTCTGCTTCCCTGGCACATAAAACAATCGGAATGGATGTTTGTCTCATTAAAAACAGGTCTTGTAAACTTATTGACGTTAAATGCTCTGTATCGTTTGGCAGTGAACCACTGATCTTTCAAGAGTTCATGATGGGTGCTATCAGGTGGTCTTTAGAGTGTTTTATCACGAATGGTATATGTATGTAATCAGCTATAATTCTTTTAAAGTTTTGGACAGCAAGATCTCCATACAACAGTAGCAATATGATTAGTGTCATGACTTTTGTACCTTCTGTTCCCCAGGGTTCCACTTCGCAAAGCATATGTATACATGTGAATTAAAAACTTTTACTACACTATTGAACTTGAGTGTACATAATTATATATATGTATGTAACTTTAAGTCCTGAGCTTTGGCTCAGTTTAGGAGAAAAACAGTAGGACGTTAAACCCCATTTCATTTCATTTCATTTCCTGAGCTTGGGAAGCTGATCAGTTTGGACCCAAGCTTCTCCAGACAAAGGTCATTACTTCTATTTAGTTGCTTGGATTTTTAGTAGCCAATCAGTTTGTTGTCTTTGATACTTGAATCTAGATGTTTTATTTTACTAGGTCTACTTAAATAATTATTTAATAATGAAACCCAGTTATTACTGCACAACATTTACAGCTGTTATTATCAAGTATGTGTTAATTGTAGGCTTTCATTTGGTAGCAATCAGACTTGGCAACCAATCGACATTGCTAACAATAATATTGGCTTATGAAAGTGTGTGAAATAGCTTTATTTAACATCCGCTTCCCCCCCCCCCCCCACTGAGGTGATATCGCAGACAAAGTAATTTAAGTAATTTAACCTTGTATTTGTATTTGGAGGATACCCTAACCCTGGAACTTGATTGGTCCACAACCCTGGAGAGCAGAAGGTCTTAGATGATAATTTACTAGAGTACTATGATTAAGGAATGGAGGTTATTTTCATGCGTGTGTGTTTTCACATGTCATTATGTTAATTAATTGAGATTATCTATTATTGTCATTTAGTCAGTTCTTAATTTATAAACAAAAACAATGTGTGTATAAAAGATGTATATAATTTGTATGTATTTGCACGTCTCATTTTCCCCACCAGTGCACTTTCTCAATAAACTATATACAGTATAAAACAAGACTTAGTGTCATATTATGTTTTTTGTTCTGCAAAAAATTTCAAAGGGACTATTAACATAGGTTGATCCATCTGTCTGTTCAGATTGAGCTGTGTGATAAGCAATTGGATTGGTTGAGATTTTTGGAACTTTGATTCTAATGTGGTGAAACTTGGTGTATAGATTAACGACATCAATACCTGGAGTTCGATCATGAGCATTTTCTGCCTGGACTAATTAAAGATAAGCAATTTGATGGCATGATGATTTACAAATAATAAATGCGCAAGTAATTCATCTTGAAGTAGCAGGACAACGCATTTGAGGCTATTTTAAAATAGTCTCAAGGAGGCACCCAATCCCCCCCCCCCTTACGCAATGTAGCACGTGCCGCAAATCTGTGGACTCTTCAACAAGAATTTTTTTAGCATTTTATTTACATCCCAGTCCTCCAAAATCTGGAATTCAGGTGGACGTGGCATACGAGATTTTGGTTGCAAACACCATTATAGGGCTTTGTTTTCGTCACGTGACTTCTCACGATACTGTTAGAATTATCCCTGCTTCTGTTCAATGTCTATGCATCTTGGCGAATTGTTTATACCGATACTTTGATTTTCCATATGAATCATTGATTTTCTGTTTGAAACAAATTTTAATACAGCAGAAATGTAAATAATGCCAAATATAGAGAGTACCGGTAGACTGATTATCATTCAGTGTCGGAAGTGTAATGGCGGTCCGTGTTCCAAAAAATCGCTATTTGACTAAATCAGTGGATACGTTTTGACATAGTACTTATGGTTTGTAGTTTAATTAAGTATTCTTGTATTGTAAATGCATTTTCAAGGAGGCATACGCTTGAATGAGAAAACACGAGTTTGGAAGGGTAAATGAATAGCATTCAATCGTACACGTAGCAATAAAAATATGCACGGCAGAGAACACAAACTAACATATTTCATAAGAAAACTGACAGAATCTTACAATCTCAACATAAACTGTTAATTTACGTTAGAAAACTAACCATAAACTAACAGTTAGAATCTTGACGTAAAAGTAACGTTAGATTTATGTTCAAATTATCACCAATAGCACTTATGTCATTAGCTACGAGAACGTGTTGTTGAGAGATGAGGTTTGTTATCTATTACTATTATGTCATTATATCTGAATGTAGTCCATTAGTATTCAAACTCGCATCCCGCTCAACCAGCCCAAAAATAGGAATGTTACATGAAGATACCCTTGTTGAAATGTCACTGGGAATATGCATTTCATATAATTGTGTCGTATTTTATTCGCTATCAATCGCTAGATGTGTTACTAAACTGAATGAAAGTCAGTCAGTATATTTGGAGTTATCACCCATTAACTTTATTTATCGCCCAATAATACATTCCACAGTAGATATCGCTTGTGTGATAAATTTCATAATCTACATGAATTTGATTGTCAGTTAAAAAGGAACTACTTTTTTTTATTTTCAAAGAACAGTTCATTTTTTTATTAAAAGTAACTTCTTTTTTTTATTAAAAATGAACTACTTTTATTTTATTGACCTTGATGGAAACATTGGGTAATGTAATCAGGTTCAGTAAAAATGAAATCTATAGCAAAGAATTATATTTATTTATTTATTTGTGCATGTAAGAAAGGATTGTGTGATAAATAAAATCTCCTACTCGTCTTTTTTTGTATCAAAAAAGACTCGTAGGAGATTCTCTATTTAACCAAACAAAGAGAAGTTTTTTTTAAAACACCAACGGTTAAGTCCCCAGCACACCAAACTAGTTCTCAATACCTTCCGGAAAATGTTGCCGAACGGGCGCAGACTTTGTGCGAACATGGTTAGCAACTGTTTACAACGACGGGAACAGGGCTCGAGAACCTTGAGTCTGTTCAAAATTTTCACCGTCCTGCATTTAGACGGAGTGACAACGTACCTAAAACGGGATGGGCGAACTACGAATGGAATTGCCGTACTTTGATCCTACAAGGGACGTGTTACAACGTGACATGGTCGAGCATCAATTAAGCTCCGATCACACCAAACTGGTTCTCACTACGTTCAGGAAAATGTCAATCTCGTTCAAACTCTAGGCGAACGGAGTGAACGTATAGTAGCAACTGTTTAAGTATTCACATGGATGTACAATCAATCATAATTTAAGAATACATATAGCATTAATGGGGCAGGGGGTTTACGCTACCCTCTTTAGGGACATTCTTACGCTTTTCCCCGCTTAACCTGATATATGTTGATTTGATTAGGCAAGGCGGCTTACGTCTCCCTCTTTGGGGACATTTTACGCTCCGCCCTGCTGTGTATTTTAATTGTTTAGTTTAGTTGCCAGATGGTTTACGTTTTTCTCTAGGAGACACTTTTACGTTCCACTCGGCTTCCTTTTTGCATAAGATTATATGCGTTTTGTCATTGCTATTTTCTCAATGTAGTCCCAGATAAGCTGAGAGGTCCAGTATCTGTCGTTTGGGGGTGGAGATAGGAGAGTTTTAAGACAAAGTGATTTGTTCTTCCCTTGTAACAAGAACAGCTGTCTAGTTGTTCGGATGAGACCGAAAAACCGAGGTCCCGTGTACACATTGGCGTGTACGTAAAAGATCCCTTGGCAGTTGGAATTCGATGTAAGAGTTGGCCGTAGCCCCGCACACTGTATGGCGTGTGCCCGTCTTCATTAGCCCAGGTTAGGAGCAGAACAGTAGGACGTTAAACCCCATTTCATTTCATTTCATTTCTCCCCTTGTAATTTGTCAGTCATTTGTTGACGTTCCTTCCTTGACTACGTCTATGGTTTGGAGCTTGCATACTTTGATTAATGGGTGATTGACATAAATATTGTCTACAAGATAGCTATCTATTTGATTGCGATGGGTGTTTTCTTGTATTAGACGGGTTTTCCATGCAATTTTGATCTTATACTTTGTTATGCTTGCAAATTCCTGATTTCTATATTCTAAATTATCCAACTGTTTTATGATTTAGTGACAACCCGTCCTTCGCTAATTTGTCGGCTTGTTCGTTGCCGAAAATATGACTTGTGAAGGGATCCATGCAAGAATCACATCCCTCCCACTGATTTTTATCCTTTGGTTCAGATTCCCAACTTCGTGGATTAAGTCTTGCCCGCTTCCTATTGGAGCTCGATTCAATAGATTTGATACTACTCAGGGAGTCAGACATGAATACGACTTTTTTGTGTGTCTGCCTAGCAAGCCTTCTAGTGCCGTTTTAATGGCATTCAGTTCTGCGGTGTACATAGAACAATATCATGATAACCATTTCCTGACGTTCAGCTTTGCTTTGGGTGTGTATATGCCATAACCTGTTGTCCTCTTTGCAGAATGCTGGGGTTTTATAGCCCTCGAGCCAGGAAGAGATAGCACACGTAACGGGAACACGTTCGAACGCACTAAGAACGAGACGAGGACGAGTTGGGCTGTCTCTAAACCTTGGGTTATAAACTATTTCGAACCAGATATCTATAGGTGGCGGGTAGCCGTCCCAGACTTCTCTCATAAGTTCGAACTCATCAGGCTTAAATGAGATTGTGCGACTGTTGTTTTTATATAGTCCTCGGGACCAGAGCACAAAATATATAATTCTCGGGTGGACCGGCTCAGTTCTCTATCACCGTAGCAACTGCTTCCGTTATTGGTGAACAGAGAGACCGCTAAAGAATTGCCGTTATAAAAATGCTTATTTGCATAGACTCTCAAACTCCCAACCCTTTAGACTATGTCGTTTACAACTTTTCGTCTTCAACGGAATTATCAGTGAGTTGAAATCCGACCTTGTATCTGTTATCACCGATTCTTTCTGTTATATATAAGAATAACTCGTGTTTTCCATTTTTTGCGTCATTTCCCGTTTCTTCAACCGTTACGCATCTATCGTAGTAATGATCTTCGTGTTGAAATTATATTTTGAATGTGCTTAACCAGTTTCTATCACATGTGATAATGACGGACACCAACATTGTCCTTCAAATCAAAATGGATTCACACTTATAAACTTTCGAAATGGATGGCTATACAATCAGATTTAGTCCCAAAGGGTACCCATCTTCTTTATTTATACTAGTTATAACCAGTTGCGAATGTATTGGGGACGAGCTATAACCAGTTACGAGCGGGTTTAAACTGACTACGACAGACTTGGACTGCATGGAAATGGCAAATTTACCCGATCTGAACTTGACACGAAATGACTGGGGACGGCGCACAGACGAGATGGACGTATTGTGGACTGTTTATGAACGAACTATGATCGTATTATAAACATTATTTACACATTCTAGTTATGTTCAAGTCCAACTTGATTAAGTTGACAGAATATTTCAAAGTTTAAATATTGAGTTGCATAGTATACCTTGGGCGATAGCAAGAACTAATTAGAATTTTTGTCAAACTTGAGCGAAAAAAAGATTAATAAATCTGCACTCTCAGACAAATCAATAACAATAATCGTTATTAATAATAATAACACGGGTTAATCTGTTAATCTGTGTTATATTTATCAGAAAAATGTCAAATCATTGAACCCTCTTAAAACAAACTGATCACCAGTTCAGAGGGAGAGGAATAGTGTGTGTCGCCAGTTGTGGCGACGCGGGTGTGGGTGCAGGTGATGTGGTGTAACGTTCTATCAATAGTAAAAAAAAGAAAGTAAATCTGAGTTTCTCTGGATTTTAAGCCTAGGGTTATCTGTCCTTGTCAATGGTGCAAGACCAGGGCCTGGGAATGGCAATTGTCTATTCGCTCGTACGAAAATTCGAAGTCAAGTTTAAATCATTAGAAGCTCGTTAAATATTCACTCACATTGAAAAATCGAAATGTTAGTAGGTGCAGCACAGCTGTCTAGTCAAAATTTCCCTCAGCGCACATTGCATTGTGTATGTCAGTCTTCATTAGCCTACCGAGACTATTATTAGCCCAGATGTCATCGAGTGTAAACCAGAATAAAATATATAGAATTATTTCAATCAATTTGTCCACTGCACTCAAACAGATAATAAAACACGAGACCGGAATTAAAAACATGAGTAGAATCATTGAAGCTTGATACAATACAAGAGATTGTTGGATAAAATATTTTAAATACACAAGATGGAAAAATCAGATAAAATTAACAATTTTACATCTTGATTATATCTTGACTTGATTTAAAACACACGCATAGAAAGGTAGAAAAAACAGATATATTTTATGAAGAAAAGACAACACAATTAATGGAATTAATTAATCAACACTAATGACAACTTTTGGTTTGGTTACCGTTTTGCCAATTCTAATTAAACTAGTCTTAATATCGCATTTTTGTTTCATATTTTTAAAATAAATTAAAGCCACTGATCGTCAATATCTAATTTTCAAGCCATAATCAACGGTATAGACAAACCCTCGATTCAATCGGATTAAACACTATTGATTTATGTTTGGGTTGATATTCCTTTTAGAGACCCAACTTTCACAATATTGTAGTTAACAGTGGATTAAACATCCCTCAAATGACGCTCAGAGACTTTATACTTAAGTGCATCTAATACCAGTTTCAGTTGCTATTGTTAAAAGTGAAATAATAAGATAAAATAAGTATTTTCGTATGTAGTACACAAAATGCAACAACGCTACTTAACTGTACATTGTGATGAATTCCATGCGATTCATAAATTCATTATCACAAATACACATTATTTTTAGTTTAATATTTTCACATCTACGATAAATATTTATATAATGAATATGTACAGCAATAATCATAATTATAAAATCTATATATCTTTAAATTTAACATCATATACTATGTAAAGAAATTTCATTCAATCACGGTGCTGGAAAGACGTCAACAATTCGGTCAATTGGGTCAGCGTTAGTGAAGAATCGTTAAAACGTTTAAAAACAATAAATCGACACTCTCTAAGTGGGTTCCCAACCTTCTTTTCGCCCCATCTAACCTTGTCAACTTTTCGAAAGTAAATTTACCCCCCCCCCCCCAGGGCAATATTGAAAAATTGTTTTAACCATATTATTTTAAAGATACATTATGTAAGATTTAGATAAAGAAATGGTCGTTCTTGCTATAATAGTTGGAAAATAGATAATGCAAATTTAATATCTTGAAATTTCATTCTGTTTGTAGTTTTGACAAGATTGTTTATTATCGTAGCAACAGTACTTTGCATCAAGACGTACTAAGCCTCGATTCACCATTTTTAATTAAATTGTTAAATGGCGATCGCGTTTATATCTCGGCCAACCAATGATTAGTGAGGTGATTATAGGCTTGTTCTGTGAATAACTGTCTAAATAATAGTTAATATAACTTTTGAAGCCAAAATAAAGACCTGCCATAGGCAGGTTTAGCTCTTACATTATGCATCTTTAAGTTTAAATAACAATAATAATTGCACATAACATGGTTTCTCTTATTTCCTTCTCAACTTCAGACTTTTTTCAAATATGATAATTAATAAAAATTGTACAAATTCAGAATGGAATTACATTCATGCTAGATTGGGAGACCTTGCTCTAGTATTTAGTGATTTACACAAATTACAGATACCATTCCTATAACCGTGAATGCAGTGAATATAGAAGTCTATCCCTATTTTTGGATTTCTATAGATGACACTTAAAACTAGTGAGTTACAAAACATACTATACTAACATTGATAAATGTGATTGACTAAACAGAAAGAACTATTTCAGTACCGATTCATATATCGGCACGGTTAATAATAAAGACCAGCCGTTTGACTACCAACGGTTATCGTAAGGAGGCATTTACGGACTGCAGTGTATTGGCGAAAAGCCTTATTTAGTTTTTCAATTGCCTTATATTATTCCATTCTTTTGGCGATTGAAACAAATCGACATTTGTCTGCCAATTCCACAGCCCCAGCTGGCTTTATTAGTCCGTAACGTCATTTAGAAATAAAGAGGATATCTGAACACTTCATTCCACGATAGGAAAAACTACATCTACGATTGATACATCCCGGCAAATGTCAATAAAATATTTAAAATATAAAAATTTATCAATGATAGATTATTAATTATAAAAACTACAACTGTTTAAAGCATAATACACGCACGAGATTAATAGAGCAACAGAGGCACAAATAGTTTGGCTGTTGCTAGAGTCACGTTCGTAGATTCGACCATAGAAACCGGCTGAAACCAATGGATACGTTCTCTGTCGACTCCATAGGACACCATCTTGGTAGTTCCATTCAGATAAAAGAATCAGCTGGCCTCGGCGTGAAGCTACATGCAGTGGATAAATGTAATTGGTGCTGAAGAATGCGTTGATCCTAAGATGAGTGAATACAGACGATGCATCAGTTGATTGTTTTCCACACGATTCCTGGGTACTGTTTGGGCACTTGAGAACCATGCAGCTTTGATAGTAATTGTACTTGCCATTTTTCGGTTGAGCGTGGTTTCCAGAAAATACCCCAAAGGCGTAGACATCCCCAGATCGGAACTCAATGTCATATTCGATCTCACAGCACATTTCTGCAACGCAAAGTCTCAATGATCGCTGTCTTGAATCCAAAATAACCAGCTTATAACTGTCACCGTTAACATCAGACATGAAGGTGTCCTGACTTCCTCCCTCGGCTTGCATGCTTGTTTCGTATTGTGGCAAGCGTTGTCGTACGGGACGTCGGATTACCCCTGTCGTGGCGACAAGAAGTTTGCCGCTACTTCCAGAACGATTATCGTAGTAAGATGCTACAACTCCGTCAGGACTGTAAATGCCACTACCTTGCTTTCCCATGTCCGGTCTGTGGACGTTAGCAGCTAGCATATTTATGCCAAAGCCTCGAGCAAATCCTGATAGAGTCTGAATAGCGATTCCGTTAGGATAACTGTCACGCCACGATGTTGGGCAAACCACATTGGGAATTCCCAGTTCATCAATCATGCGCATGGCTGGATCATAATGGTAGATTTCATCGCAAAAGTACAAACCAAATAGTCCGAAAGGTGTATTGAAGGACACCAACTCCGCCTTTTGGGGATAATCGTATTGAGGTTCGTTGTTGAGGTTTCGCTTGTTGTAGCTGGCAACAAGATCTCCATTACGGTCAAACACTACGGCTGTATTATACTGATACTGGCCGCCGTCGGGACAGTATCCATCCGCATTCTCGTCACATTCAATCTTGTTCCCAAGGTTACCAACAATATATAAAGAATTATTTCTCGCCATGCAGCTGAGATGGTGCTGTATTTTAGAATCAGGGTAGGTTCCTGGGTGTGTGCAGGGATTCCATTCTCCTTGTTTTGTAACAGGAACGTGTTCCAGGTATGGCGTAATAGTGTTTCGATCGAAATCCCAACCAAACAGACCCCCTTCCGGAAACACCAGTATATCTACTCTCTGAAAATAAACAAGAAAAACACAATTGAAATCATCTTTGACAGAATCATGACATTCACGCATCACAAGGACTATACAATACTTTTAGCCTTGAAATAATTCCTGCCGTATTGTGAAATGAAATGAAATGAAATAGAGATTAACGTCCTACTGTTCTGCTCCAACATGGCTAATGAAGACGGAATTATGAAATGAAAATGCCCGCGTCGTATATCTTTCGGTCAATGTTACCGTCCACCACTTTTATATATGTTATAGTTTAATTAGTCTCAAAATATAATCTTAATGTAAAGACCTTTGCTATGGTTCATTAAAAACGTCTACGTGCAAGTTCCAGATGTGACGCAAATACAGGACATCAATTATTGGTAATGATATTAGTGCAGCGCAGTGACAACTATGCCAAGGATTCAGCTCTCTTATAATTGGGCCTACCTGTGCGGACGAAGAATTGTAAATAAACTATATATACGTGTAACCATTGTACAAGTCAAATAGTGCCTAAATCATGGAACGTCTAATGCTATAAAAAAATCATTAGATAATGTTTTGCATTAAAATAATATATTTTTCTTCTGAGAAACAAGTGAATCATCTTTAACTAATTCTAAAGAATGCGAATTAAAAGAGACAAATTTATATGCTCTATAGAGTTGATTAATTCTTTAAAATCAATTCTATCAATACAGATTTTGATTTCATTAAAGATACATTAGTTAAAGGTACATTTGGAGTTCGCTCATTTAGTGTTGTTGCTGCTAATTTGTGGAACTCGCTACCTGAAAATCTTCGATCCAGTCCATCATTAGACACCTTTAAATCCAGACTGAAAACATACTTATTTGAGATATATATTGGTTTTTTGTATATGTGGAATTCGATATAAATGGACTTAATAAAGAGTTGGCCATTCTTGCTATAATAATCCAAAAATAGATGACAAAAAGAGTGAAAATATTGAAAATTTCATTCAAGTTACTTTATTCTGAACGGAGTTGTCACTGTTGGAAGTTTGGACTCGAAATAGGCATCAACTGTCCCCGCACCGTCTCCGAGAATTGCGGATCGTTTGATTGACAGGTGATAACACCATCCACATATTCTCGAATATTAAGTAATATTCTCAATGGCTACGGTACACTCGATTGGTATTGCCGTCAGTAACTAACGGTAAACGTTAGTTTGGTCAGCCATTTATTGATTTAATTATTAAATGGACGATTGTTTAAATCCAAGCTGTACCCAAGCCATCCGAGGGTCTACATAGCTGATTTTGAGCTTGTCATGTACATAAAGATCTAATTAATAATTTCTATAATATCTGAAGCCTAAAGAAAGACTTGCAATAGGCAGATTTATTTCTGAACTAATGTATCTTTAAACAGCATCAACAGCAATTTTAACTATCTGTTGATACTAACAATATTTCATTTAGCTTCAACGCCTTTTCCCAATTACCTAAACCAGAATGTTAACCGACTGGAACATTTTAAATAGATTTTTTTTAATTTTTGGCTGTTTAGTTCTTTTAGTTCTTTTTGGTTTTTCCCCTTCTAATTCTTCTAATTTTGTTTGTTTGGCATTTGAAGATATTTCCTTCCACGTGTCAAGTTCTAATTACACTGACGCTGGCTCGCCAGCCTGGAGGTCGGGTGTTCGATCCCTGCATTGGCCGAGAAAGTTCATCCAGATTTTCCGGCGTGGTTCCCCCTTGTCAGTGATGCAGGACGGAGGGCCTGACAAGGACAACTGTCTAGTCCTTCGGATGGGACGAAAAACCGAAGTCCCGTGTAAACATTGGCGTTCACGTAAAAGATCCCTTGACAGTTGGAATTCGAGATAAGAGTAGGCCGTAGTGCCGCTGTCCTGGCAAAATTTCCCTCATAGCACACTGTATGGCGTATGCCCGTCTTCAATAGCCCAGTTCGGAGCAGAACAGTAGGACGTTAAACCCCATTTTATTTCATTTCATTTTTTGATAAAACATTATATCCAAATGACTGGGTAATATATATCTGTTGCAAAGCAAGTACAGTCACTGCTAGTGTGCTCCCACGATCAAAATATATCTATTATGTCAAAAAATTCACCTATATCACAAGTCTTGCCTTATTCCACACGGTCAATTTTAAGTACAAAATAGATTGGGGCCCTTCGAGTAGTCGCACTAAAGCAGTCTTGGATTATCGAGATTACTTAATACGAAACAATATTGACAACTACAGCGAAAAAATCCGAATGCGGGAACTTCGTAGGAACAAAAGGCAAGACCTACAGCATTTATTCTTGTCGCTGGTGCGATCTTCAGAGATATGAAATAGTTAAAATAGTACAAGTTCAACAGCCGCCCACCCAATCCTATCTCATAGTCGATTGGAATTGAAAGGGGTAGGGCTAAAAGCCCAGACCCATGGCAGACTTCGTCAGGTCACCACATGTAGTTAGTGTCAGGGAACGTGATTGGCTGATTGTTGACGAAATTGTGGGTTAGGGTTTGTCTTACACTAATTCCTATCCAAACCCTAACCCTATTTACATAACCTATGACGAAATCTGCAATGGGTCTGGGCCCTTATTCACGAAAACTTAAACTAAGTTACAACCGAAATTTTAAGAAATACTGCAACTTCATTGGATATATGCAAATTGATTTTACTCAGCCAATCGAATTGCAGTATTTCTTAAAATTTCGATTGTATCTTAGTTTAAATTTTTGTGAATAAGGGCCCTGGGCTTTTAGCACTAACCAAATCATCGTGTGAAAATAAAAACGTCCATTTTCTTCAGGTCACACTAAAGTCAAAGTGACCTATCATTGATACAATAGTGGGTCTAATCGACTGTATATGGGACTATAATACGAATTAGCCTAATGAACGGAACCTTCATTGTCCTTCATTGAGTTGATATCTAATATAATGCATTTGAAAGAAAATTTAGTCTCTGTTAAAGAAAATAAACGGCATTTAAGTGAGATGATTTTAAGTTTGTTTTTGTTATCTGTTGTTTCGCCCTCAAGTGATGTTTAATGTTGTTATTTCTCGCGATATCCTGAAAGAAACAAGATTACATAATTGAAAATGTCACGAAAGCTTAAGTGATCATCTCTTTATGTATATAGAGTTTCGGTCCTCGATAATGAAACAAGCATCTTCTCGAGACATGCGTTGAAATTGCCATGTAATATAACCTTTGCCATCCCTTCTTTTTCCTTGCGAAGGAACAGTGTCAAGGTCGGAACACGCAGCCCTGATTAAGTAGATGAGTACACTCTGATCAAAAAGGTTAAACGATAAAATAAATAAACGAGACAATCTTGATGGTCAAGTACCGGTGCCACGATATTAAACAATATACGCAACATTTTGTTAAAAGTCATAACTTCTAACATAATAAAGCCATTTTTCATTAATAATATTTGAATTATTATAAAACGGCCAGTTCTTTACCTAAATCTTACATAATGCATCTTTAATTTGTACATTCCGGATGTAACTAAACTATAAAATTTCTGAGAATCAAAAATTATATTTAAAGATCTCCATGGTTTTTTATACGCGCACATTGAAATGTGGTCGTATATTGTTGTCGCCCCTGTCCGTCCGTCGGTCCGGCGTCCACAATTGCTTGTGGACGCTCTATAGGCTAAAATTAATATCCGATTGACTTTAAATTTATACACAGTGTTTAAGGTCATGAGACGAATAAGCCTATTGATTTTCAGCGAGTTCCGATAATTACTGCCAAAGTTATGGCCCTTGATCACTTTGAAAAATCTTTGACGCTCTAGAGGCTAAAGTTATCATCCGATTGACTTCAGATTGATACACAGAGTTTAAGATCTTCAGACGAACAAGTATATTGATTTTCAATGAATCTTTATGACTTGAACAGCTAAACCCATGATGTTAAAAGTTTCGAATACAAAACGTTAGCATGGGGCAGAAATTTATAAAAACCAAACAAATTCTAATGGTTTTCTGATAATAACTTAATGAGTTGTTACTCTTATCAGATTTTAATGTATTATAAATGTTTCATTACCGAAAAAAGTAAAAATAAGCGACAAGTCTTGTTGACTGCCCGGACGATATAGCTGCTGTAGGCGTATGTTTCGTTACCTGGCAACCTATATTTATAATCCGCAATGCGAATTGTTTTAGATCCCACCCTCCACCAGAAATGCAATAACTACCTCTATAACATAAATATCATACACCATCAGCGTCTGTCATCTCACATTATCCTTGAGCAGATTATTGGCAATATTTCTATGCATTAAATATAGAAGTAGAACTGCTGACTGTTTACGAATTACATGCACTGGAATATGTTTACAAACTATAGAAGAATTAGAACACGGGCTATGATATCACGCAATGATCCGCTTGCCAAGATAAATATAATCCACCCAGTAAGAATTATGGTATACTCCTACAAGTTCTCATGAAGATAAATAACTAGTAGACTATTTATTCACATCGTGTATTATAAGATGGAATCCGTTTGATTTTATTTGTCTGTGTCTTGTATCTCTTGCCCGCCCCCACGTTAAAATGATTTTAATCCCTCTCCATATTGCCAGTGGCGTGGTAAGGCGTACGGCAGCTGTGCACGGCGGTCTGGGGCGTAGCCCGGAATTCAAAGAAGCGCAAACTTTATCTGTTAATCAGTAACACATAAAGCAAACTGTTTGAATGTGTCGTAAGAAGACATTGGATTGGACGTTGCAAGGGTGGGTGCCCTTGTGCGCAAAACAAACCTCTGCCCGTTACTGCCTTTTGCCATTTTTGCATTATTTTGTTTTGTTTGTTTCTATTTTTTTCTAGTTGCCACATTGAGTGAATTCTGCTTTTTTTTAAAAAAAAAAAAAACTATTTGTAGTTTTCATTTGTTACCTTTAGAGCTGCCATTTTAGCTTGTGCTGAATAGATATCTATATTTGTCATGATGGTTTTTAAGGCATCTCTCCTGCTAACAACACCATCCTTGGAACCTTGTGGTAGAATTACAGCATGTTCATATACTGCCGCTGTAAACTCTTTCTGGCGTTCACACACAGCGACGCCTAGAAAGAGAACAACAACTCCTACCACCAACACATTCATCTGAAAAAATAAGAAAGAGTTAGGTTTAAATAATCCCAAAGATTTAAAACCACTTTATATTTGTACATAGATAATTGTCGGATAGCCCCACTTACACCGTCACGCAGCCAATACATAGTCAGGAGCTTAGGTTCCCGGGAAAGTCATCTCTACCAGCTATAAAAGTGGAATAATATTCGATTGGTAACACTGGCCCTTACTGCATTCAAACGACATAGGGTAAACGGGGTGATAATTCTAAATTTTGACAGACATTCCTTACGCCCAAATAAATAATACCACCAAATTTCTTTCTTTTTTTACCCCCCCCCCCCCCCGCCAAAGATTGAGAACGTGTCCTGTATCGCTTTTATATGATTTAAGAGTTAAAATTGAGAAATAATTGCGACATTCCTGTTCAAACATGCAATCTGAAAATTCTGAATTTGAATAGGGTCCCTCATTATCCCACTTTATAACGGAACAATTGTAAGAGCCAACGTCAAGGTTTGTCCTCATTATATAATGTGGAGAGACTAAAACGTCTCAATGCTTTAAGCTGAAACCTCCAACCAATAACAGCAGCTTATTTCTTTACATTTTAAAACATTTTTTGCTTATCATAAGTCACTTATTTCAATGTAGAACATGGAAAATATGTGGCAAGTCCTCTAGAAAAACCCTGGCACTTTAATACGTTTATGCTAGTTTGACGACATAATTCGGTGTATTTCCCTTTTGTCGTGTAGGTAACTCATAATTAATTGGTCTTAAATCAGTATATGCTGATTTTCTGCATTCTACACCAACAACTCCATCCATATTGTATTATTTCGCACTTTTTAACCTCAACTAACGACCCCTTTGTATGATATTAGAGATACAATTTATAGCGGACTGAGATTCTTTAATGGTCCTCATCATCCGACCTTTCACCGTTAACATCCTTTGTTTAGGTTGACCCCAGAAAGATAACAATAACACATGTAGAAGGCATATTGTTCTATTTTCTAACCACTGCTTTTAATTACCGTGCATCTTGTAACTAAGACCAAGGAAACGGGGCAATGGCGGCGAGTTAGGTTTGTAACCAATGGAGGCGTACTATTTGTTTCACTTTTTATATGTCCACATAAAATTAAAAATGTGGTCGTATATTGTCGTCGGTCCGGCGTCCACAATTGCTTGTGGACGCTCTAGAGGCTACAGTTAATATCCGATTGACATTAAATTTATACAAGGGTGTTTAAGGTCATGAGTTGGAGGCGCCTATTGATTTTCAAGGATTTCCAATAATTACTGCCAGAGTTATAGCCCTTGATCTCTTTGAAATATCTTGTCATGAGTCGAAGATGCCTATTAATTTTCAAGGATTTCCGATAATTACTGCTCGAGTGATCATTCGATTGACTTTAGATTGATACAAGGTATTGAGACGAACAAGTATATTGATTTTCAATGATTTTTGATAATTTGAACAGCTAAATCCATGATATGACATGTTTTGTATACTATAAACGTTAGCATGGGATAGAATTAGAAGCCAAACAAATTCCAATGATTTCTGATAATTACTTAATGAATTCTTACTCTTAATAAAATTTTAGTGTATTATAAATGTTTCATTATCGGCAAAACAAACAAAAAAAACCAAAAAAAAAACTTTTGTTGACTGCACGGACGACTTTAACCGCTGTGGGCGTATGGCTTGTTGCCTGGCAACCTATCTTTTTTTTTATTCTTCGATTGTTTTGTGTTTTTTATGTTGTTAGTATTTTGGTTGGAGTTTTAGTTAGTTTATAAAAATTTAACCGTTATTTTTTTTTCAAATATTGTATATCTTTAATATTGACCCAACCATACGAATTTAATATATGATTCAGGAATATTGAGTATACGATTCAGGATTACTGAGTATAAAATTCACGAATATTAAGTCTAGTCTACAATTCACGAATATTGAGTATACGATTCGACTAAATCTTGACTAAATCTTCGACTAAACCTCTCCCCCAAATTCTTAAACCTAACCCTAATAACAGATATCGGTGGACTAATGAACCCGCAGACTAGTGCACCTTAACCCTAAACCTAACCCAACCCCTAATAATAGATATCGGTGGACCAATGAACCCGCGGACTAGTGGACCCGCGGACTAGTGAGCATTCCCCAATTTATAACAACAGCTAAAAATATAAAATATCAATGAAGAATATAACGATTAACCTCGATATTGAGCAATTATTGTGGAACACTATATACACACTTCCAACTGTTATGACATTTAGTAAATGTATAAATTATACATGTCGCACAAAAATAGACAGGAAGAATACAAAATAACCGACATGCATTCAGTCAGTGTAAATAAGCCTATTATTCTTTCAGACATGTTTAAATTTATCCTTACCCTAACTTGTTATGAGACTAACGTCAAGGGCAATAATACTGGACAAAATTACAGGACGCTACAATACTTAGCAATGCAAGTTTCATTAACTTCTGGGGATATTCAAGATTAACCATGTAGGGCCAAAAAGGGTCAAGCGGTTAATGAACTGACTGGAATGCCCATAGTGTTTGACGGTACGATATTTCTGGATTCTCTTAGCTCCATTGTACTTGTTGGGTTTAACATTTGTGGAGTAAAAAACAATATGTAAGATGTAAAACGAGGTCCACACGAATACACATTGGCTGTGCAGGTGGAAAGTGCAATAAGTAAAAGAAAAGAACCTTTAAAATTGTGGATGCGATACATACAGGTAGAATCTAGAAGATTCCAAACTACTTCTCACTTTACAAGTTCACAGGACTAACAAACTTTTGTTTTATATTTGTATAGGACCTGAAATCGTGATAAAATGTGGATCAAAGCAACATGGTATCGTGGTACGATATTCAAATATTCTTTTAATGTTGAAATTATTTTGAGGTTAGATAATATATCTTCTTATTGTAACTAAATTCTGAAGTCATGATAAAAAGAGGTGGAAATAATTTGGCACCTTATTCAATATTCGTCCTTGACGCTGACAAACAGAATCCAGTATAAATACATATATATAAATAGTACCGGTAGTTAATGTTGTTCTACTCTCGTCACGATTTGTCCTAGAATTCACCATACATCACTTATAGTGGGAATGTCATATGTTTCATGTTCCATACCGCAAATAAACAATCATCTTCGATAAACCAGGAATTATATTAAACATCCTCATCTGGTATGAATTCGGTCTATCAAATAGTCACGATTTATCGAGTAACAATCTCGTGACTCTAGATGCCCCAATAAATCTCGATCGACAATTTCCAAATCTTCAGTAGGAATAGACGACGTCTAGCTTATGGCCATAGATCACCAATGATTGGTCAGCTGCGTCCTTATAACGTTCACTCAACACACCTCGGTCACATCCGGAATAGTACACTATAGACTCAGCCCTGCACGCAACCCAGGGTGTGCTGAAATCCAGTGAATTAAGGACAATCTAGCGTTTATTTTTGACTGCCACCAAACGCCAAATCCACAGCTCAGAGATAATAACATACAAACTAGAAATGGGGACCATTGCAAAACTCAGAATAAATTCGGCCATCTTTATTAGAAACGCCGACAAAGACCCGCCCGTTGTAATCCCCATAGATCGGATTACATCTCAGTCGTAGAAAGACAATTATTGAACACGCCTTTAAAAGATGCAGGATATTACAACAAATATGCAGACAACTTGGTATCCTACTATTACAACCGTGGTTATCCCAGATATACATTGTTGAAAGGAAAGTCCTATTTAACAATAAAACATCACCAAAGGATAATACAGTCCAGTTTCTAATTATGGCTTCAATCCACATTTGTTAATATACTTAAACACAAAACCACCCATCTTAACCACATATCACATCTTAACCACAGATCCACGTGTCATACTTCTTAACCATCTTAGACACAGATCATTTAACCAGATATCATCATCCATCTTAAAAACACAGATCATTCAACCACATATCACTCATCTTAAAACCACAGAATACTCAACCGCGTGTCATCCATCTTAAAGATACTTTCCCAGAAAATTATTTATTGGATGGTTATTTCTAATAAAAGTATTGCAATTTTGGTATATATAGAAAGTAAAAATATTCAATCTTACTTGAAAAATACTAGATTCCCTTAAAAACACCCATAGAACGCATATAGGACAAAAATGTAAGGGTTTCCCTAATCGGCAGCCCGACGATTAGGAGTGTCTGCTCGCGTCACGTCAAAGGTAGCACGCGAAGATTGGGCGATTGATGTATATGTTGATAAACCTGATGAAGAGTTAAACGTACAACACGGGAAAAGACTTGGGCAGTGGATAATCCGAAAATTTAATTAGGCTTCGATATTTATGATTTATTGATAACGATTAAAGACAAGATCGTCTTGTGTATGCAACGAAATCTCTTCCGGCTTCGCAGCCGTTGCTGGGTAGCGCGTCAGCTAAGTCACGTGACACAAACATGACTTCTTTTAATAGATTTTTTATAGTAGGGATATTCCCTCGCGAAAACAGTGTTTTGAGAAGGATTTGAAGCAAAATTTTGATAGATTAATTAGTTTGAATATGATTTTAGTCCAAATACATCATCAAATCACCCAGTTTGTTCGCAGGAATGTATCTTTAACCACAGATCATTCAACCACGCATCATCCGTCTTACCCACAGGCCTATCAACTATATATCGTCGATCTGAACCACGAGTTCGACCCCCTGTAAGTTACAACTAGTAAGGTAACTTGGCTAATCCTGTTTTTCCGAATCTCCAATTTATCTTCCGCTGCACCTGCACACAGAAATAATCTGGTTTCCATGAATGTTTAACCCTATTTTGTTCATACCTGATACACACCAGTTTGATAACATTTTTGATATGGACTCACCTCTCACAGATCTGACAGGGTTGCTTGGGAGGTAACATCATAGGCTATTTTGGTGACCAAAATGACATAAAGTACGTCATTTTGGTCACAAAAATAGCCTATATACACTTTGTTTTGTTTTGTTCAACCGATTGATATGATCGAGACCCGGAAATATGTTCAAAGCTCGTATAAAACTCGATTAAACAGGCCATTTCATGTGCTAATCTTCCTCATCAATTTAATGCTGTTTAATAAGACCCCCTTCCAGATCCTACTGCCTGTGGGGGGTTGGATGGCCGAATGGTTAGCACGCGCTCGCTGTATCATAAGGCTTGTCATTGAGTCAACTGATGTGGTTTCGAATCCCCGGTTGTACGTGACAAGGATTAGGGTCGCCTGTACAACCTCGTGGATTTTCTCCGGTTCCTCCGGTATCCTCCCACTGCTAAAGACCCATACGCGCTAGCAAATTATTGAAATAAAATTAAAACCATATGTTAGTCCCGAAATGACCTAGTTTGTGTCGAGTGGACGTTAAACCCAATTTCTCTCTCTCTCTCTCTCTCTC